AGTAAAAAGATTTTAGTGGATATTCCGCCAGGAAATCCACATTTCCAGGTAGTCCATAAAGGATTTTCTTCCTTCGGAACAAAAATAAAAGTCCTTTACGTTGAAATCACGTATCCGAGATGTACTCTTCGCGAATCAAAAATATTAAATCCCTGTACTTAGCTGGCTATTATTTCGCTTTTAAAACATAACCTCACATCGTCTTATAAACAAGTGTAAATCACTACTATTTCTTACTATTATATACAACGATGCTTTTAATAATTAAGAATATATTTTATACACAACTATTGGTGTATTAATATATACGGTTTTGACTGGAGTTGTTTAAAAAGCAAGAGCTCTCTTACGAAATAAAATTTATTTCTTATAATTTATTTCTTATTATGTTGGAGGACCTGGGATTTGGGGGATGTGGGATTTGGGGAATTTGGAATTTGGGGGATGTGGGATTTGGGGAATTTGTAATTTGGAGGATCTGGGATTTTGGAAGATGTGGGATTTGGGGAACTTGGAATTAGGGGAACTTGGAATTTGGGAAATTTGGAATTTGGGGAATTTAGAATTGGGGGAATTTGGAATTTGGGAAATTTGGAATTTGGGAAATTTAGAATTGGGGGAATTTGGAATTTGGGAAATTTGGAATTTGGAAAATTTGGAATTTGTTTCTTATTATGTAGAAATACTCTTAATATTCCTTACACACAATTATTGGTATTTTTCACTCAAATTTTAGTCAAATAATTTATTTAAAAAATTTCATTGTCGCTTATGAAATAAGATTTACTCTTACAATTATATTACAAACTAATTTAAACTAATTAATTTTTATTTTACATTCGTTTCGACTGAAATAATTAAAAAATGAAGAACCGTCTCCCAAAATAAGGTTATGTTCGATCTTGCGCCATTTACATCCCAGCACAATCTACATATCCATAATCTTCATCTCAAAATAAAATTAATTCAGAAATAAAAGTAATAATTAAGAACACAAGACGCCCAATTGAAAATAAAGCGAAATAGTTTGTGAGAAATAAATAAGATTCTCCGTGCAAAGGAACTTGGAACAAAATAAAAGTTCGTTCACGAGCCGGTCTAACTTGCATTAATTTAATTGGCAAGTCTTGAGGTCGACCTCTTTCAAATGGCCGTTTAAATGATTCTACAAGGCATATTGAGAATGTGTTACACGAACACGGCTGCACACGTATAAACAATTGCGTGCTGGATAACATTGACTGTATCTTCTTTTTTCCACTTCTTTATAATCCGCCATGATGACCTTCGGGAACCTGTTTTCATAAAATAGAAAAGGAATAATTAAAATTTCCATTTCTACTTTATGTTATATAGTTTCTGTTAATTATTTTAGTCTATTGGTAAATTGGTTATTGGACTCAGCATGGGTTTAATTGATTTAATTATCAGTTCAATGATTACGAAATTAATTACCTGTGTGTACAACAAATATTATGTGTATGAACCAAGTTTTTTAGAAAACTTTTTTTAGAACCAATTTTTAGAAAATACAGTTTTGTTGTTTTTGTATATTTTTAGAAAATATAATTTTATTTATATAAATATTTGAAATTTTGTTAAGAAATGAAACTCGGAAGCGACTTTCTTACACGCTCCCGATTATCGAAACAGTACAACTATTAACATGTACAATATTTCACTTTGCAGCGTCATTTCGCTTTGTCCCAGTTTCCCCTTTTAAAATAAAATTTATTAAATCGAAACAAACCAACCTCAATCGATTCCATTTCTCCTGGACGTGGATTCAGTTCACATCGGATGTACCGGGTAAAATAATAGACACAGTCCAAAGTAAATAATAAAAGTACTTCCAGAAACCATTTCCTCCTGCGTTCCATTAATTGATTCGAAATAATAATGGACTTTTATGTCAATTTGAGCTACATTTGGTTTTACAATTTTAATTAATATTTTTATCGTTGAATGTTTGAAATGATTTAGTAAGATTATTTTGAAATATATAATTATTAATATAGTACAGTTAATAATCAATAAATACAGTACAGTTAGTAATCGATAAATTAATCATCAGGATATTCATTGTATTTTTTCTTGAGTTCCTGTAATAAATTAACAATAAACAATAAATTCCTATAATAAGTTATAATATTTCAAATAAAAGTTTGCATGAGAAATGATAATTTATTAAAGTAAAATAAAGTAAAATAAAGTAAAGTAAAATGAAATAAAATAAAATAAAATAAAATAAAGTAAAGTAAAATAAAATAAAGTAAAATAAAATAAAATAAAGTAAAATATAGTAAAATAAAATAAAATAAAGTAAAATAAAGTAAAATAAAGTAAAATAAAGTAAAATAAAGTAAAATAAAGTAAAATAAAGTAAAGTAAATTAAACTAAACAAATAAAAATATGTTATAGAGAAAAATAAAATATCAGAAACGAATATAAAAATAATAAAAAATGAATAAAGTATGAGAAACAATATTTTGGTAAAAACATGCTTAATAATAAAAAGGAAATGTTAAATTACGAAGTGATCACATAGCAGACATTCCAATTAGCGTTATGTCATCAAGTATAAATGAGACGAATAATATGAAAGCTTTGAATGCACGTGTGTTCATTGTCTCTGAATGTGTTCTAATTAACCAACACTTTGTTATACTCGATTCTCGTTCCGTATGAATAGAATCGCACACATATGAACACGAACTTACACACATGATTGATCTGGTTTCTTTGCCCTCGCTCGCATTTGTCCTCCCACGTACGCGATCATAGGTAATTAAGGATTCACAAATTTAGTCATCTGTCGTGAGATCAAAAGACTCTTCAAGCACCAAATAAAAGTCGTTTTTCTTTTATTGTATTTTAGTTCATCGTTCTGTTTTATGCGTATTAGAAAATGAATAACAAATGAAGGATGTAAGGTTGTTATACTTCGCTTGTTTATTGACAAAGTATGTAAAACTTGTTTTTTAAAAATGTAGTAATATTTGCTATTATTATATTAATAATATTTATGTTCTTATTTATTGATATTGACATGTAATATATAGAATAATGAAAAAATAAACGAACTGAGATTCAAACTAAGAATTCTAATGTTTCAAATTTCCCGCCAAATGTGAAATGACAAAGAAGCGAAGATCCATCATTCAAACTAGCCTCACCTAATATTAGAATTTAGCGTTAAATGTGAAATAATAAATGAACGAAAATACATCTTCCAAATTGACTTAAAGTAACATTCAAATTTAGCGGTAAATTTAAAATAATAAATGAACAAAGATCAATCTTTCGAATTAACTTAACCTTATATCCAAACTTGGCGGTAAATTTGAACTAATAAATAATCGCAGTCCTATCTTCCAAAGTATCTTAATCTACCAAACAAATTTACCATAAAACATGAAATAATAAACAAACGAAGATCTCCTAAATCAACTTAACCTAACCTTAAAATTTGGCGGTAAATTTGAAACACTAAACGACAAAGTCCACATTACGAAACATATCAAGTTCCACGCTTAACAGCCTACAAATATAATATCTAGGATCGAACGTGTTAAAGTGACTCAATCAATTACCCAATCGCAGGTATCGCTACCATTTTGAGGTTAGCGAAGAAATAAGCTGCAACGTTTACGAAATATCTGGTAGAAAAACGAAACACGATCGGAACGACAGGAGAACAATATTAAGCAGTACCCAGCGAGACTGAAAGTATCAAACAATTATCGTTGTTGTGAATCATCTTAAACCTTGCGCTCTGACTTTACAATTCACCTTGAATATAAATGAGACAATTAATTTTCATAAAAATTCGTCGTGCCGAATATGGAGCAATAAACATTCTCCAGTTACGTGGCTCGTTAACATAGTAAATAATGTCAAGTAAAGCTCGTTTCGCTGCAAGATTCTGTTCTCGTTAGGCGCTACTCAAGTTTTTACCTTGGAGGTTCTAATGTTACGATTTAGAACAATGCGAGAATAGAGGAGCAAAGGTGTCTTGCTCGGGGATGACGGAACTTTTTAATAGGCGACAATTTAGGTTTCATTTCAGACCTTTTTGGATTCGATTTTTAAGTTTTGAGTTACTCTTTTTTATTATTTGGAGATTTGGAAATTTGGGAATTTGGGGAATTTGGGGAATTTGGGGATTTGAAGATTGGGAATTTGGGGATTGGAGAACTTGGAATTTGGGGGATGTGGGATTTGGGGGATGTGGGATTTGGGGCATGTGGGATTTGGGGCATGTGAGATTTGGGAGATGTGGGATTTGGAAGATGTGGGATTTGGGAGATGTGGAATCTGGGGAATTTGGGATCTGGGGGATGTGGAATTTTGAGGATGTGGGATCTGGGGGATGTGGGATTTAGGGAATTTGGAATTTGGGAAATTTGGAATTTGGAAAATTTGGAATTGGGGGAATTTGGAATTTGGTAAATTTGGAATTTGGAAAATTTGGAATTGGGGGAATTTGGAATTTGGTAAATTTGGAATTTGGGAAATTTGGAATTGGGGGAATTTGGAATTTGGGAAATTTGGAATTTGGGAAATTTGGAATTTGGGAAATTTGGAATTTGGGAAATTTGGATTTTGAGAAACTTGGAATTCGGGAAAGTGGAAATTTGTAAAATTGGAAAATTGAAAATTTAAGAATTTAGAAAATAATAACTTTAACACTATAAATAAATAATCTTACTAAAAAAGTAACGACAACTAAAAATACTTCAGGTTCAAGGTATTAGCGTGTTAATATCTCACCCAGGTGTGATTCACTCCTGCTAACGAACAGACGGAACACCATACAATTAAAAGAAGTAACGTAACAACATTTACACGTTACTAAAGAAACGTTAATATTACCTCAGCACAGTATGAACTCTTACGAAGCTGCGAAACGTACATTCTAATTGTTTGAACAAACAATAACGCACACGAGAAAGATTTTTGCAAGTAAGTGTAAATGGAAACGTAATTCTGATTGCAGATTTTGCGAGGAGATCTAACGAACGGTGAGATGACTCGACGAAGAAGAGCGCCCATCACGTTAAGAGTATGCACAGGTAAGAATACATTATAAAGCTGCATCTATGGCGATCGATTTGCATAATCTCGAAGTAAATAAATGTGTAATGCACATCCGTGAAATGGCACGAAGGTTGAGGGAACTATCAATTTACATGCAAAGTGGATTTACATAAACAATTTTCTTTCTTCGAATTTTGTGGAGCGATGGGTATATTGGGATCGTGGTGAACTTTGGATTAATTCTTTCAGTTTTTCAATTTTTCCATTCTTCAATTCTTTAATTTTTTAATTATTCAATTTTTTTAATTTAGCAATTTGGCAATTTGACCATTTTCCAATTCTTCAATTCTTCAATTTTTCAATTTGGCAATTTGGAAATTTCTCAATTTTTCAAATTTTCAATTTGGCAATTTTCCAATTTTTCAGATTTTCAATTTTTCAGTTTTTCAGTTTTTCAATTTTTCAATTTTTCAATTTTTCAATTTTTCAATTTTACAATTTTACAATTTTTCAATTTCTCAACTTTTCAACTTCTCAATTTTTCAATTTCTCAATTTTTCAATTTCTCAACTTTTCAATTTTTTAATTTCTCAATTCTTCTATTTTTCAATTCTTCAATTTTTCAATTCTTTAGATTTTCAGTTGTTCAATTTTTCAATTCTTCACTTCTTCCATTTTTCAATTCTTTAAATTTTCAGTTTTTCAATTCCAAAATTCTTCAATCTTTCAACCCTTCAATTTTCGAATTCTTCAATTCTTCAATTTTTTAATTTCTCAATTTTTCAGCTTCACAATTACACAGTTTCTCACATTTTCAATTTTTCAGCTTCACAATTTCTCACATTTTCAATTTTCCAATTTCACAATTTCTCAATTGTTCAATTTTCAATCTAAAAATAATAAAAATCATAAAACGTAAAAGCTCTAAATTCGCAAGTTTCCGCACATCACGGTTCGAAATTGAAGGTAAGTGCCAGGATGCTGCTCCCTTTATGCCCGTCCTTACCCAAAGGAAAGCCACGTTGCAGCCACGAGTGTACGTAGGAGCATTCGAGTGCATCCTGTTGCATCACGAAACGGTGATGCAAAGGTTGCCAAACGAGGCGACCGCTCGAACTGTGCAGCTACGAAATACTGTTAGGATTACCGCACCGTGTCAGACTGCAACTTAACTGTAACACTTGCCTTGACAATATAAATGTACCGTTTCTTCGAACGAATGCTGTGTCGATCGATACTTACTATTCTTCTTCTTTTCTTCCTGCATTTCTACCACGTTCTTACCTTTCGTTTTGTAGATAACAAATATGAATAATGCACCACAGAAAATTTAACTCAAAAATCAGTTTAAAATATGCAACTTGAAAATACAATTTTTACTGATGAAGTATAAAGATGTATATTTAAAAATTCAGTTTGATAATGTAGTTTAAAAATGCAGTTCAAAAATGCAGTATAAAAATTAATTTTATAATTCAATTTAAAAATGTAATTTATACTACTGCAGTTTAAAAATATATATATGAAAAATTCAGTTTGATAATGTAGTTAACAAATGCATTCCAAAAGTGCAATATAAAAATTAATTTTAGAATGCAATTTAAGGATGCAATTTTTACTAATGCAGTTTAAAAATGTATATTAAGAATTCAGTTTAAAAAAGTTGTTTAAAAATGTAGTTCAAAAATGCAGTTTATCGATGCAGTCTGAAAATGAAATTTAAAAGTGTAAGTTAAAAAAATGCAGTTTAGAATTGCAGTTTAAAATGCAGTTTAACTATTCTAGTTTACACATTAACTAGTTTACAGTCTGCTGTTTAAAAATGTTTATCATATGTATATTTTACTGCAAACTTTTATTTGTATTTCAATGTCTGAAATTTTTACTACAATAAATTTGAATAATAATTTAAGAAAAGAGAACCCGAAAGAAAACCTGAAAAATCACCCCGATTCTTCTCGTTCGCCGAACGCCAACAAAACGACAAAGGAAACATTTCTCGGAATGATTCATATGATTATCGATCATGAAGAATAATAGCACCGAGATCGAAAGTTTCCTTTGTCTGCTTATGACGAATGCATCGAAACCAAAAGTTTCCTTTAAAGTGGCTTTTTCGATCGAATCCGCATTATTATCGGATGATCCGTTCCGATCTGATGGCTGCGAGGAGAATGCAAAACGAGAATCGAATCGATTAAGGAATTAGAAAGCGGAATTCTTTTCTTGATACGGCATAACCGCTACGTTTAATACTCGCTTTAGAACAGTTTTCGAATTATGCAAATATTTGTTCAATCATGCGAAAGCTGGGGTATGTGGTGTTTAGATGAAAATTGAAAATTAGGGAGTTGGGGTTTGGGGATTTGGGGATTTGGAAATTTTAGTATTTGGGGGTTTAGAGATTTGGAAATGTGGGAATTTGGGAGTTTGGAGATTTGGATATGTGGGAATTTGGAGGGTTTAGAGATTTGGAATTGTGGGAATTGGGGGATGCAGAGATTTGGGAATGTAGGAATTTGGAGATGTGAGAATATGGGGATGTAGAGATTTGGGAGTGTGAGAATTCGGGGTTTTAGAGATTTGGAAAGGTGGGAATTTGGGGATATGAGAATTTTGGGGGTGTGAGAATTTGGGGATGTAGAGATTTGGGAGTGTGGGAATTTGGGGATGTAGAGATTTGGGAGTGTGAGAATTTGGGGATGTAGAGATTTAGAAACGTGGGAATTTGGGAGTGTAGAGATTTGGAAAGGTGGGAATTTGGAAATGTGAGAATTGGGGGATGTAGAGATTCGGGAATGTGAGAATTGGGGTGCGTAGAGATTTGGGAATGTGATAATTTGGAAATCTAGGAATTTGGAAATATAAAAATTTGAGAGCCTAGAAACTTAAAAGACCCACAATTTGAAAATTCAGAATCTTGCAAATTTAATCCCTATTAAACTCCCCTTCAACTCCTCAAATACTCCCATCTAACAATTATCAAAGCTTCAATAACATTCACCTTATAACCTAACCAACCTAACCAATTATTAAACGTCACAGTTTAATACATCACAAACTATTCCTTCTGAAAGATGGATGATCATCTCGATACCATGATTGATCGCTCCACGATCGCTCTCCGAACACAATCAAGCTCGATACACACTGAACGATGATTTCCGTAAACAGTCTCGTTCACTTTTCAACTTCTTCTCTCAGCATATTTAAAATCAATGAATACTTGTCATAGGAATACGTAATTGTACATGTACACATTTTCACGTAAGCTACCCACATACACGGAAATCAGGTGTGCATATTTAAATCCTGTGTATAATCCCGAGGTCTGTTTAACATTCAGAAGCGCACGTGATCGTACAGATTGTCGCGTATGCAGTTGGGCGTTACAACGTAGAACTAACAGAAAACCACAATACATCATAGAGAAACTGGCTGTGTAATTCTTGATTAACCGGTTTTTAGATCTAGTAAAAGCTTCCACCTTTATTTTCCTTGAAACTGCGAGCAATTAAAGGGTTCTTACAATTATTACTCAAATTTTTGATGCAATCAATAAATTCAAGGTATTAAATAAATTCAGACAATATTCAAATATTCTTAAGAATTTAAAATTAAATAATTTAAAAATATTAAAAAACTGAAGAATTTTAAAATATTTAAAAATTGAAGACTTTTAAAATATTTAAAGACTGAAGAATTTTAAAATATTTAAAAATTGAAGACTTTTAAAATATTTAAAAATTGAAGAATTTTTTAAATTCTTAAAAATATTTTAAACGTCGATAAAATCCTATTACTTTGATAATGTTACACTGGATCTATTATGCAACTTTTGGGCAGCCATTTTAAAACTGTTAGGTTAGATTACCCAACACGTAATATTAAATGAGTTTATGTAAGAATATGAAGACAAAGCCTTTCATTATATTCTTAAATCTACAAGGTACTAAAAATGTTTAGAAAGAAGGAACATAAGACTATCATGGTAGATAATGTGAGGTTATGTTACCTCATATTTTTAATGAGACATACTATAGCATATTATGAGACACAATTTTAATGAGACATATTATCGTATCACTCCTTGTTACAATTTACTTAAAAGTTTGATAATGTACACTGTATTTTGTACTGCTTATTTTAATTTTTAATAGAAAAAGAATTTTTAATGTACTCTACTAAGTTAGGTACATTTTGAATCTCTTTTGAGAACATCTTAAAAACTATCCATTATGTATTTCAAAGAAAGTGTAGTATTTAAATATCTACACCCATTGCAATGTACATACATGATTTTTTTTAATAATTTCATTAATCATATCATTTTTAACAAAACACGTGACATACATTAATAAACCATTTCACACATATGTTACTTCAAGATTTAAATTCTTTCAAGAATTTTCTTTAACCAATTTCTTCAAATTTTCTTCAAAGTGCATCTTCAAACCCATCCATAAAAATAATTTTGCACCAATTGCAGGCGTGTTCCTGCTACTCTTCAGCGTCGTAGTCGCCGACACGACGAAAGGTCCTCCTCTTTCGGACAAGCCCTTCGCCACGTCCGAAAAGAACGCGACAGACTTCAAACCCGAAAGCATAGAACCGACTAGAACGAATGTCGAAACGATAGACGTTGCTAAAGATGCCAAAGCAGAGGACAAGGAGAAAGTGGCGATGCCGATCGGCGAGGAGTCCGTGGTGCAGGAAATCAGGTCGCCCGATGAACTGGACAGGTTATCGACCGCGGATTCGACTAACGGAGGATCGAAATTGGAGGAGATCCTCTACGGGACTTTAGGAAAGAGCTCGAGTACGAAAACGGTCTCTGAGGACTCTTACAGGCTGTCCAGAACGAACGGTTTGACCACCGTGACCACGAAACCCGTGTCGGAGGAATTAAAGCCGGACGACAAGAAGAATAAAACGGTTTCCGGTCAGAGAGCGGAGGACAAACAGTCGAACAAAACCGCGTCTCTTGATGAGGATTCAAAGGACGTGGAAACGAAAAAATCTGCTCTGAATTTGGAAATACTTAACGACAGAGATGAATCGAGCACGCAGGCGACTCGTCCGGAGCAGTTTCAGGAGAGGAGAAAAAAGGCTGAGCATCCGAGTTCAACGAAGAACTCCGAGGTCCCAGATCTGAAAGAAGCTGACGTGAATGGAGGACACGACGGATCTATCTCGTTAATCAACGACACGTACGTTAACTATAGCCCTTATTACAAAACCTCGACGGAGAAGAACGTCGATGGCTCGGAAAATCAGTCAAGGGCTAACAACACCACGAACTCCGTCTCCGATGTGACTCACAAGACGCAGGATCCCAAAGGGGAGGTGGAGGTCGTCGGGAGCGTGACTCACCCGGTGATTCAAAGAATCGTGGAATCCCAAAATTCGACGCTGAAGGACGCCAGCCTCGAGAACGAGTTGAACCAGAGATCCAATCAGGACTCGGCCCATAATTCGACCAAAGACCTGGATTCGATCGGGGAAAATCAGCAGAAATTGATACAAATTACTACAGAAAGAACGAGCCGCGAAGAGACGACGCTTCAGACCTCCAGCCCTGTCCCTAGGGGCCGAACCATCGCTTTCTCTGGCGTGAACGAATTTCCGAGCTTGGAAACGAAACCTACGACAGCCACCAAATTGGACGGCGTCTACTCGACGAGAAATATCACGACCCCACAGAAACCTTACCCCTACGCGAAAGCGAGCAGCGAGCAGCTCCACAACTCCAGCAATCAGTTGGACTCCACGACGGAGGAGGTCTCCGCTCTGGAAAACACGATCGGCAAAGGCGGGTCGGACGAGAAGTTCATCGTCACGGAGGCTTCGGACGTTTTGGAGAACAGCATTCAACAGTTCAAGACGCACTACGAGAAACCTGGCAACGAGTCGATTGTTTCCAGCACGGAAGCCCGATCGCCGGTAACGACTCCAGCGTCCACTCCGAAGCTGGAAGAAGCCAGACCGACGAACGAGAGCGCTCTCGACAAATCGAACCTGAAGGGGATCGCGAAGTCCGAGGAAAAAGCGAACAACGGAAATGACGTTCCTCGGTGGAGCGAGGCTCGCGAAGGAATTACTGGAAAGGACTTTGACGTGACCGGCAACCGAATAACGGAAGGCAGCCTAAAACCGGAAAACGTCGATAAGCGGACTTACGACGTTCCTTCGGAGACCGGTCGAACAACGACGGCCACACCGGAGCAAACGGAGGACGGACTTTCCAACGCCGACGTGCAGACGAACGCCGAGGGCTCTCTGCTCATCCGCTCCAGCCTCAACGCCACGGAACTTTCTACCGAGTACCCGCTGATCAAAGGGAATTTTTCGGACGTGACCACACTGGACACCACCACGGTTAAGGCGACCGAGAGTCCGACCACAGTGCAGGAAACGGTAGGAAACGTTACGCAGCTTCCTAGCTTTCCCGACGCGAACGGAACGAACGAAATCCCTTCCGGTGCGAGCGGCACTTCCAGTCCGGATGAAACTTTCGTGCCCACTACGACCAGCATCGAGTACCAGTTTGTTGGCCTCTCGGAGTCCACCACTTTTCTCAGCAGGAACGTAACCGAGGGTGTTTCCACGGAACTGCCGGATCACAATTCGTTCACGAGGAGTCCTCTGAACGAGACTTCCACGGTGGCCGGAGAAACTACTACGGATAATCCCTCTTCCACCGAGGAGTCCGAAGGCACCACGGAGGACAGGTCCTCGAGTGTTACTGACCAGACTGTTACGGTGCCAAGTCTGACGACGCAGGCTGACGACTTTACAACCGTCTCGGGTATCGTCGAAGCAGAGACGGATCAGACATCCACCAAGGAAGAGGAGCAGAGAATCAGCGTGACGGAGTCTTGGTCCACGAGCGATAAGGACATCACCGAGACGGTTAAAGTGGAACAGACAACCTTGCCAAGTGCCAAAGATATTCATACGGTGGTGAATGTTAGCGAGACTACCGTGGAATTCACGACGGATATTAGCACGACAGATGCCATTCGAGAGGCTACTTCCAGCCCCTTTGTCCCCAGTCTACGGCCAAGGATCCCGGTTTCGAGTACCACCAACCCTCCAGCTGTTTCCGACATAACGATTAGGGTGACAGACGAGACGAAGGTGTCGCCCACTCAGGAAGAGGTTATGCCGTTGGTTCGCATTGTCATGGAGGGCAGCTTACACGACGTGTGTCTGAAGAAGAACGAGTTGAGGTCCGCACTGGCGGAGATCCTGAAATCGGGCGTCAACAAGTAAGTTGCTATTTGTCAACATTAATTTTTTATTGCTTTTTTGGATTTGAGAAAGTTACGTTGATAGCAGGTTTTAAGCAATGTATCAGTGTTCTTATGGATCAGTATTGTATTAGAACTAGGATACTATTCTAGAATACTTTCAGAACTACTTCTGATAAAACTGCATTGACAGTACAACGTTTAAGGTGCAGATGTGAGTTCGTGTTCTTTGTTACAGGACGATTTCTGACGAGCAAATTATCTTTCATCAAGATCCCTGCCAGGAATCTGCGACTTCGACTCCGACATCCGACATGACGTCGATACTCGTTTACGTCGTTGACGAGAACGGAAAAGTGGACAGCGCCATGACCACCATTTTGCCAGATTTGTACAAAAACTCGCACGTGATATTCCCTGTCAAAGTAAGTCAGTATTCGGATGCTGTAATTTTTACATTTTTTACGAAATTTCTACTTTCGTCGCCTACTACAATTTGTATCATTGCAAGGAGGTTATCTTCACTGTAGCCAATCACAGCCGAGCGCCATCTTGTCAGCTCCCAATAATAAAAATTCCAATTGCCACCTCTAAATTTGATAGACTTAATTTTATCATCCAAAAATAATTCTGTCGTATTAAAAATTTTATCAAAGTGATTTCTACAATTTAATTTGTAATTTCAAAACGAAATAGCGTTTTGAACTTTGCTTCAACTGTTTTGAATATCAATAATTGTGAATGGAATTCAAAAGAAATTTGTCCCATATTGAATAACAAGTTTAGACAAATAATATATGTAACATGCATAAATATAGTTAACGTATTCCGCCGACTGACCCACTCTTTTCAGATACACAGCTTTGTTGTGGTACAGGAACCAATTCCGGACTCCGGAAACGCGATAGCGGTCGTCGTGGTCTCCTCGATTGCCTTCATTTGTCTGGTTCTTCTGGCTGGTCTTCTGGTAAGAGTTCTTGTTACTTTATCTCCTCTATCTATACCTTCTCGAATAAGCAATTCAATGACTATACAGCATGAACGTATTCAGTGATTATACAGTACGAAATTCATTTCTTTTAATTGGTTAACATTAATATCTTAAATTACTTCTTCAATTATCTCTGACTTTACGTACTAACTTTCGGTTAGATGGAATATATACTTTACATTTCATGAGTAAAATGTTCGGTTATAAAAATTTAAATAAATTTTCTGTTGAATGATTTCAAAAATAAAATTCTGCAAAATTCATACTTTTTTCTTGTTCAAATATTTTTGTAATATATTACACTCTGATTATTCTCCATTTGTTAAACATTCACGTCGTGTAATACTGCTTCTTTCATTTTGCTTCATTAAATCACCAATTGATGAATGCACTGCTTATCAGAAATTACAGAATTTTTCCTCCCAGACAATTTCAATCTTGTCACCACTGTTACACAAGGTGTAAATTGTATCAAACCTAACCTAACCTTATCAAGCCCGGTTTTGTTTCTGACGAACATAACGCTTTATAATTTGACACAACTTCCAAAGTACCAACGAGGAATTACCAAAATTTATTATTCATTGCACGCTAATCGGCCAAGCACTTTCGAACCAAAGTTGTCCAAAGGAGAAACTAATAAATTAAGATTCAGTTACGCAGGTCCGCAAAGATCTATGCTCTCTGAAAGGCCTCGTCGTGCTTGCATTAAGCTCATTTCGCATGATGTTACGTATTCATCCGTCCACACTTGTGATTTACTCCCAGTGTACGTAACAATCAATGATACATTGTTGTGGATGTGTGTATGTTTGTGTTGTCTCGCTTTTATCCACGGTTACATCAAATTAAATGTGCTGAACCACACATTCCCTCAGTTTCTAACAAATTTTTAAAAAATTCATCTTCTCAGACTGCCTTTCGTATGAATCACTACTGTACAAAATTAATACTTTGTTTTATTCTGTACAAGTACAGAGAATTATATAAATACTTAATTGTTGGTATAAGGAGAACAAAATTTATAATATTTCTTGTGTTATTACAAGTTATAGTCACTGCATTGAATCATAATATACATTCTAACATAACCTAAATATAACAAAAATGGCGACATTATATCTAGGTTACATTAGGGGTACGAAAAGTAATCCAAATTTTGTTTGCTGGCGAAAAATATTTATCTTAAATCAACAAAATAATTTCCATCACTTTCTAACGCTTTTTTCTAGCGTAAGGACAATTGTTCCCTTCTTAAAAAAAGTCCTTTTTTCATAGAAAGAGTTTGAAATCATCGAAGAAATTTTGATTACTTTACCCCTAATATTAAGTTGTCATAATGTATCATTATAATAAATCATGTCATTACGTATTAAAATCGTAACATAACCTAAATATAACCAAACTGATATACGTGGACTATATTAAGCTACCATAAAATAGTAAAAATAATGAACACACATTAAAATGTCTCCTTTCATCAAAATCAGTGTAAGCGACCATTTACTCTCCCAACAAACAAAATGTCCGCCACCTTACATAAAGAACCTTACATAAAGAAAGCAATTTTCCGTAGCATCGATCAAGTTCCGATCGTTCGTAGTTTCTCGATGCACTTTGATGCAAAAGCTGTAACGTTCGTCCTTGAATCGACGATTAGATCGAACAAACCATCACCGCTTCATCGGTTTTTGCTTCGCGTATTCAATGCACGTGAGCCTGGATGTTGAAACCGCTGGTTCGAGAACGTGTTTCGACAGAAGAAACACAACTCGTTACACGATGTCCGGTGTTTCGATATTGTCCGACGCGGGGACAAACAGCACGAATTAACGGCGAGCATTAAGTAGTTGTTTACTTCGATGATGTTGCAATTGCGAGATGATAAATCACCTTTGCAACTGTATCGCGGGCATTCATTTACCCCGAAAATGAATGCTGCTGATGATAGGGGGTTATTTGATAGCGTCATGATAATTTCGTTGCGTCGATTTGCAAAATTGCTGGAAACTGTGTTTGTGGATGATTATTTCGGTGGATGATGAATATGCACCGGTTTTGTGTGTTGTAGGAAGTTTTTAGTTGGAATGTGTTTTTTAGAATTTCAGGATCTTGGGATTTTTAGGGGTTTGTTATTGTATGGGGTTAGAGCTTTGATGGTGTGGAATTTGCAATTTTGGGATTTTTTAATTTTGAGAATTCTGGGGTTTGCAATTTTGGGACTTTGAGGCGATGGGATTTGGAGGTTTCTAGGATCTTTTCATAGTTTGGAATTTGGGAGATTGGAACTTTGAGATTTTGGAATTTGGGAAACTTACTGTGGGAGTTATGGAATTTGAGAGGAATTTGAGAATTCTGGGACTTTGGAGTTATGGAATTTGAGAGTTTTGGGATTTTGGAGTTATGGAATTTGAGAGTTTTGGGACTTTGGAATTATGAAATTTGAGAATTCTGGGATTTTGGAGTTATGGAATTTGAGAGTTTTGGGACTTTGGAATTATGGAATTTGAGAATTTTGGGATTTTGGAGTCATGGAATTTGAGAGCTTTGGGACCTTGGAATTATGGAATTTGAGAATTTTGGGACTTTGGAGTTATGGAATTTGAGAGTTTTGGGATTTTGGAGTTATGGAATTTGAGAGTTTTGGGATTTTGGAGTTATGGAATTTGAGAATTTTGGGATTTTGGAATTATGGAATTTGAGAGCTTTGGGACTTTGGAATTATGGAATTTGAGAATTTTGGGACTTTGGAGTTATGGAATTTGAGAGTTTTGGGACTTTGGAATTATGAAATTTGAGAATTCTGGGACTTTGGAGTTATGGAATTTGAGAGTTTTGGGACTTTGGATTTATGGAATTTGAGAATTTCGAGACTTTGGAATTATGGAATTTGAGAATTCTGGGACTTTGGAGTTATGGAATTTGAGAGTTTTGGGACTTTGGATTTATGGAATTTGAGAATTTCGAGACTTTGGAATTATGGAATTTGAGAATTTTGAGATTTTGGAATTATGGAATTTGAGAGTTTTAGGACTTCAAAATTTTTTTATATTAAGAGTTCGCAAGATTAGGAGTTTGGAACTTTGAGAGCTTATAAACATTAAAATTTTGGGATTTCAAAATTTTAAGTTCTTAAGATTTTGGCATTACAGAATGCAAAAATCTTGGAGCTGTCAAATTTGATAATTTTGGACCTCTGCAACTATAGAATGTTAGAATTTTTAGACTTTAGGTCTACAAAATTTGAGAATTTTCATCTCTACGATTATAGAATTTAAGAATTTTGTTTCTTTTAAATCATTTAATATTAAAAGTTCGGTAAATTCATGATTTAAAAATTCTGAGGACTTTAAAAATCTTCAAATTTCGTCACAAAAACGTCAGAACTTCAAAAACTTTGCCACCTAAAATGTCTATAAAATAAATATCGTAAAAATCATAAAAATATAACGATTTAGATATTCTGAGACTTGTGTCCTTAAAAATATGAGAATACATAATCCTATAATTTTGCTACTCAAGTAACAAAACTTCAGTTCCGCCTAGACAGAGTCTAGTTTCATAGGATCTCAAAATGGAGGCCTGCACCCGAGTGTACTTCGTAGTTAGACATAGTTTGCATAATAGATTCGTAGAATGGCGCAGATTAGTTCTAGCTCTGTTAGTTCCAAGATGGAAATGCGGTAATTGTTGATGAAATTATTTGCAGTTTATAATGAGGAAGAGGCAAACGAGGTTCAACTACGGCGAACGATGTCGTCCAGTGTCCTTGGATGCTTACAGCCTTGACAGTGTTTCTGCATACAACAGTGTTAGGCGAAAAGGTGTGGCACGGTCGTCGAAAAGAAGTTATGGGAATCCGACTTTCGAAGATTCGGTAAGTTATTTCTCTTTTTAAATGCATGTAGAAAATATTAACAAGTTATCTTCGGGTTTTGTACTTTTAATAGAAAGTCTTTTACTTAAAGTCTTCATTTAAATTATTTTTATGAACTTACTAATAAATGTTTATTATACAGTTATTTACGGTTTCAAAGAATTTATTGTTTGTAATATTGTTCCTGAAAATTTATTGATACATACATCGAGCTATTTTTCTGTTTATAGCATACATTTAACACGTACTTGTAAATATAAATTAATTCTTCAGGTAAATTGTTTAAATTTGTATGTCAATATGAATACATCGTAGTGTATATAATCGAGAGGTATTTTTTATGTAGCAATTTTATTTATTTTTAATATTATTCCAGTATTATCTTCTGGACAAAAGTATTCTAGTTTGGTAGAAGTAGTTTAAATTACGTTTAATCTCTTTAATTTAAAATTACAAGAAGCTGTACATACATATACATAAAATTATAATATTATTTTTAAATTTACAAATGTTCAATTTGCACGTTGACAACAATTACAATAATCAAAAATAACAATAAATAAAAATACAGTATAACACAGTTTCACAAAAAATGCACAAAATCCAACAAGAATAAAAACTATAATAAAAACTATAATAATAAAAATTGATGACACTGCTGTATGTTGGTAAAATAAAATGTCCAATAAAAATTAGCTAAAAAATATTATTTACTAAATGAACATAAAATTCAAAATACCTGCTTAAAGAACAAGAGTCTTTGCATCTCAAATTTTTCGCCAATAACTTCCTTGGGTGTAGAGTATTCGAAATTACCTTGCAGCAACTTCATCCACATTTCCAGTTAGCAATTTATGATGGTTTAAACTCGTCTTTAAAGCAGTATAGCTAACTCATTGAAGCGGCAACTTTGAACGAGCTATAGGCAGGAAGTAGTACGAAAGTTCGCATTAAGTTCGTTAAACGTTGCAGCAAAAAGTTTGGAAAGCAAGTTTCCATGAAAGATGTGTCTTCGTTGCAGAGCGCGATACCGTCCCACCCCTTGAATTTCGCCGGCCTTTCATCTTTCTGTAACGACGTTAATGCAATCAACGAAGAATTCGCCGGTATTCCGCAAGTTTCGGCGAAGATTGACGAGATGCCGAACGGGGCAGAAGTGAAGAACCGATACGCGAACGTGATACCGCTTCCGGAGACCAGGGTACCGTTGCAAAAAATTAACAACGATCCTCTTACGGAGTACATCAACGCCAGTTACGTTAGGGTAAGTCTTAAAAGTGCACGCTTGACCGCTACTGATGGCAACCCACGAGTTGGCGCGTTCGAAGCTCACCGTGAACACTTAGTTACATACAAATAAGAATAGTGACAACTGCTTTCGAGCAAGTATACTCACTTGAGGACTTTATCAATGCTCTTATTGATCTTCGTGATCATCCTGAAAAGGTGCCGACTGCTGATAAGTTAGAGTTGGAGATGCAAAGTAAAAGCTCTCCGTGAACATTTGCAGTTACATACAAATAAGAATAATAATGACAACTGCTTTCGCGCAAGTATGCTTACTTGAGAGACTTCACTGTCATTGTTTTTCGGCTGATTGGTGTGCGACCGCGAGAGCCAATATACCGCCGAAAATACGTGTGAGGCCATTTTTCTATTCTGACCAATCGTGCTGTACTTGGGGATGTAGGGATTTGGAGATGTAGGAATTTAGGGATATAGCAATTTGGGGTTGGAGCGATTTAGGTGTGTGAGAATTTCGGAATGTGGGAATTTGGGAAGGGAGGGATTTGGGAATGTGGGGATTTGGGGATGTGGGTATTCGGGAGTGGAGGAATTTGGGGATGTGGCGAGTTGGGGGTGTGGGGATTTGGGTGTGTGAGAATTTGGGAAGGGAGGGATTTGGAGATGGAGGGATTTGGGGTAGAGGGATACTGAAATCTTGAGATTCGGGAATTTAGGAATTGGGGAATGTAGAAATTGGGAATGAGGAATTGGGGAATGAGGGAATTGGGGAGTGTGGAATTGGGAAATGTGGGAATTGGAGAGTGTGGAATTGGGGAATGTGGAAATTGGGGAATGAAGGAATTGGGCAATGTGGAATTGGTGAATGTAGAAATCGAAGAATGTGGAATTGGGGAACGTAGAAATTGCAGAATGTGGAATTGGACAATGTGGAATTGGTGAATGTAGAAATTGGAGAATGTGGAATTGGGGAACGTAGAAATTGAAGAATGTGGAATTGGAGAATGTAAAAATTGGAGAATGTAGAATTGGGGAATGTGGAATTGATGAATGTAGAAATTGGAGAATGTGGAATTGGGGAACGTAGAAATTGAAGAATGTGAAATTGGGGAATGTGAAATTGGAGAATGTAGAAATTGGATAATGTGGAATTGGGGAATGTGGAATTGGTGAATGTAGAAATTGGAGAATGTAGAATTGGGGAATGTAGAAATTAGGGAATGTAGAAATTGGGGAATGTGGAATTGGAGAACGTAGAAATTAGAGAATGTGGAATTGGAAAATGTAGAATTGAGGAATGTAGTCATACCAAAATCTTCAAATTCGGGAAATTAGAAATTAGGAAATATAGGAATTATAAGTACAAAACATTTAATACGTACAATACAAGTAAGTACGTACACAATGTCCCATATTCCCATTGTACAAAAAAGAATTCAGTGAATGGAATAGTTTCACGTATCTGAAGCAATCTAATCACACGCGAGCAAGAATTAACACAGCGTTTTGTCTGCGTGAGAAAAGGATATTGCATAATGCATTACAAAGAATACGAGTAATTTGTTGCATAAGACCGCATGGTAATACGCGGAAGCAAGACGTACGTTAACACCTGCTTGCATCGAGTCATTAAAAAATTTTAATGACTCTTATCAATTGCTGAATTCACGATTAATCGTCGTACCAAGTATTATAGCGACTCGTTCCCATGTCGCTATTATTGTAATGCGATGCTATAAGGATCGTATTAATTCTAATAACGCGGTACCGAAAGTGTAACGGGCTATTACGTGTCTGCTTTAGCCAATAAATTAACTATTAATTTAATCATGTTCTATTATATTCAATAATAGACAATAATATTCAGTAATATTCAGTAACATTCAATATTATTCAATATTATTCAGTAGTATTCAATAATATTCAACAATATTCAGTAATATTCAATAATATTTAATAAAATTATTCAGTAACTTGCAAATGCAAATTTCTATCGAACTATGAAAAAATTTAGTTTAGTTTCTTATCATAAAAATTTTTTAATGAAATAGTTCCTTATTATAAAAATGACAAAGTATTCAACAATCTTTCTAAAAAATATTGCACATCTACAGAAATAACAATAATCGTCCATCTCATAAATACGATAATTACGCGATATATAATAAAATATCAATCCAATAAGTCTCCTCAAGGGACGCTTTTAATACGAAATACATTCGAGAACTCATCGATGGAGTAGCAATTAATTAACGTAATAATGCGAAATTAATTTGAAAGCAGGCATTGCATATTCGAAGGAGAGTCGATTTCAATCGAAATCAGCTAAGGAGGGCAGTAATTGTATTACGGTCGCAGAGCAATATCGATCGATATTATTGATTAACAAGCAACAGTGGCTGCTAATTGGAAGTAGGAGGATGTTAGCCTCGCTGCATTCGGCGTGCATTATGCATATGTATAAGCGTACGAGCTGCATTGCAACTGCATCGAGTTAAAACAGTATTAACGCTACGAATTTTCATGTCCACTGATTTTAATGTCCATGGTGTCTGAAGTTTGCAATTATTTAATATATTCAACTTATTCACCGTTCGTTAATTTATACATTTTGAACGTGCTTAAAATGTAACTGTATTTTGATCAGATGATGATGCAGATGTTACATGTGCATATTAACAGTAAAATGTTGTATAATTTTGTGATTTGTATAATTTTATGATTCGGTCAATAGTTCCTAGCTGAAACGAATTAGAGTACGTAAATTAGGGTACCTGTCTTGGTAGCTGACGCTTATATTTAGTAACTGTAAATGTTCACAAAGAATAATTTTTCTATTATCAAAAATATATAACTTCATTTGTATGATCTCAAAATTTGTGTCCATAATTGTACTGTCCTCTTTGAAACGTTCTTACAGTATCTGTCTCTATAGCTGACACTGCATCGATTTGAACAGAAATTATAACAGTATGTTATTTGAAGCACTACATTCAGACAAATAACAAAAGAAAAAATCTTAAGTAAAATAAAAAAAGTTTCTTAGAAATGAAAAATTATTTTAAATTATCCTTAATATCCTAAACAGTTTATTTATAAAAAAAAAGTTTGAGAATAATACAGAGAGTGCTCAGACAATAAGAATGTAAAGAGGGAAGGTATTTATTGGTAAAATAGTTGATGTGGCCTCTCAGTCACCGTTCGAATTGCATTAAATTATAAGTGACGAATGAGAGCCACCTCTCGAGTGCAAAGGGTTAAACTTCAACAATGGCTTCCTATTTCAGGGACCAAAGAATGCCATGAGGTATTACATCGCCTGCCAAGCACCAATGGACTCAACCGTCACTGACTTCTGGAGAATGATCTGGGAACAGCAGTGCAAAGTCATCATCATGTTAACCGATCTCGTTGAAAACGGGGTTGAAAAGTGTACCGAGTATATACCACCCTCGGAAATTACCGATTGCCACCGGTTGTACGGTGACTTCCAAGTTACGTTGAAGAAGAGGGAAACCAAAGAAAAATATGCTATTTCCACCCTTCATTTAAAGGTAAGTACATTGTAGACGTAAATTTTTAAGGGGAGATTTTACTTTCGATTTTAGGGTCAAGTTGGACATTTTATAATGAGTTTATACATATATTTAAATACTAGAAGTTAAATTTCTCAAGGTTGCAAATTTCAAAATTCTTAAGTTCCTAAATTTATAAATTCTCAAATATCCCAAATGATCACATCCCCAAATTTTCACGCCTCCAAATTCTCACGTCCCCAAATTCTCAAATTTCCAAATTCTCACGCCTCCAAATTCTCACGTCCCCAAATTCTCAAATTTCCAAATTCTCACGCCTCCAAATTCTCACGTCCCCAAATTCTCAAATTTCCAAATTCTCACGCCTCCAAATTCTCACGTCCCCAAATTCTCAAATTTCCAAATTCTCACGCCTCCAACGTCCCCAAATTCTCACGTCCCCAAATTCTCACATCCCCAAATTCTCACGCCTCCAAATTCTCACGTCCCCAAATTCTCACATCCCCAAACTCTCACGTCAACAAATTTCCACA